TTTTCTCATATTCCCGAATCTTTCTTTCCATGGTTCAAAAGTGTGCATTGTCTAATTGCTGATTTCCATTTGTGAATGAATCAGCGTAAAATAAAATTAAGTGCCAAATTAATCTACCCATCTAGTTTTAGGCATTAATTATCCTCTGAGCCATTTTCTCCCTGTGTTTGCCACATGTTGAGACAAGCCCAGATATAGTAATATAGAAGAACCCAGTTTGCAACTCAGGAATGCAGCCCAAGCCATGGAGGAGATGTCCTTGATCTCTAAGATCCACAGTTTACTGCATGGAGGGGATCGGATTCTGGGCAAATGAAACGCTCCTCACCATTTAAAGGTTCACTAACATCTGTCAGACTAAGTTACTGGAGCAGAAATCTGTTGGATAGTTTTGTGATGTGTTTCTCAACTGCCCAGTTAATAAATTAACAACAACACATTTCCTCTAAGTGTAACAGAGTTGGGCCCAGGGTGGAGAGTGGTGCTCTCCACCTGCTACAGCAGGATTTTTGAAAATTACATCGTGGTTCTTCTGAGGCTGTATCAGAGAGACCTTCCTGGTTCTGCTAAAAACAAACAAAACTAAATACAACCAAAAAACGGGTCTCCAGGATGCAACTGTAGCATCCTCAGTCCCCAGGAACAGGTAGAATCATCTACTTGGTGACCTGATCAAAGCCAGCATTCCTGGAAACTGTGGGGGACACGGAGCCAAAGCACCAGGATGAGCAAGTGGATGGGGGACAGAGGGCACAGAGGCCCTGATACCTTCTCTTTTGAGGTTCAGCATTATCAGAATCCTTCCAGAAGTAATGAGATATCCCTGGCCAAGCACTGTTTCACCTTAAAAAGAAAGAATTCCACAACAGGAGACAACAGAGATGAACCTGGAGGAATTTATGCTAAGGGAAATAAGCTAGTCACAGAAGGACAAACACTGCATGATCTCACTTACACGAGGTATCTAAAACCATCCAATCCATGGAAGCAAAGACCATATCACAGTTGCTGAGAGATGGGGGAGGGGAAGCAGGGAGCCGCTAATCCGTGTATACAAATTTCAGTTATGCAAGATAAATGAGTTCTAGGGATCTGCTGCACAACACTGTGCCTGCAGATGACAACACCGGACCGTGCGGTCAGACGGTAGATGGCATGACAAGTGCTCTTAGCATAATAAATTTCTTTAAAAGGAGGAAGGAAAGGGGAGGAAGGAAGGAAGAAAGAAAGGAGATACAATGCTGCAATGTCCACTTTGGAAGGTACTGCCAGTAAAGCGGAAGTCTTAGTTGGTGGGCGGGCTCTGGCTGGAACGTCTTAGGGCCCCACCCCCGGGGCAACACGTCATGCTTTGGGAAAGAGCAGCTCCACACTGAGCATGAACGAAATTACTCGGGTGCCCAAGGTTGCCCTCGTGCAGAATGGCCAAGAAGGGCCTTGCCCGCAAACCAAGAACCCTCTGGGTTGTTCTCAACAGCGACGCCATGAGGCAGCACCTAAAGCCACAGGCAGGTGAGCTGGTCCACAGCCTCCGGCTCACTCTCCGCCTGGCATGGGAAGCAGAAGGGGTTTGGGAGTAGAACTCTGTTGCTCTTAGCTGAGAACAGAAGGGGGCATACTCCAGAGGAAGATGCCAGACCTCTTGGTAATAAAATTGAGCTGAGGCATCTTTTTTAGTTAGAGAAATAAAGGAGAGATGAACATATTTGAGCACCCAGAGCTGGTGAGCAAGTGCAGTTTATTTTGGATTATCAGACTTTGGGGGAAAGGAGGTAAGGTGGAGGTTTTGCCCAGGGGCGGCTGGACACAGACAGAGGAACCCGTGTGCCGCGACCAGGAAACCAGCAAGTGCAAGGGGAGTTTTAATGAGCCCAGGCAGCTCTGCAATGGCTGCTGATGCCGAGATGGGAGCGGGCGTCTGAAAGTGTGAGCTTTCGAAGAAAACTGTTTTTCAGAAGCAATGTTTCTTCTTGCTGTCCCTTGCCCTTTGGAAGACTCAGATCAGGTCCTCGGTCATCCCCTCCGCAACACCTCCCTGTCTCTGGGTGGGTACGCGTCGGAGCACCTGTCACGTGAGCCCCGCTGGAGCCCCAGCTCCGGAATCCCAGCTGCTGCCCGGGGCGGCAGGCACCACAAGGGCCTCCCTGGGATGGACGGAGGAGGGACGGAATAAAAGGGATAGGAATAAAGACAAGATTAATAAAATAGGATGAAAGAAAACACCCTGAGCCCACCTGGCGGCTGAAAGCACATTTACCACATCTGACAGGGAGGAGGTCATCGCGAGTAATATGTCCAGGCCCTGGAAAGAAATTATGGGCTAAATCCCTCACCGATGGGTACCACTGGGGAAGGTGCTGGTTTACCTTCCCCGGGGAAGTCTCAGCACAGGGTATAAAACCCTTCAATCCCACTGAGACAAATCTCACTTGGTAGCACCCCTGGATGGTGCCGAATCGGGATTTCCAAACACCTTTCTAGTCATGTGCACCTGCACTCCGCTGCGGTCACCACATCCCTGCCTTGGTGTGACCAGGCACAGTTCTTATCAGGCAGGACTGTCCTGTGGTTCCCCCAGGACATTTCTGCACCATCAGCTGATGCCATTCTGCCACGGAGGCTGTGTCAACACAAATAATTCCTGGACCCTTCCTAGCGGGTCAGTCTGAGCCCCAAACATTGTTATCTGCACATTCCTTCTGCCATCTCCCCCAGAATACCACAAGTTCCCCATCTCCCAGCTACTTCTCACTACATCTCAGCAAAAAACCAATCTGACTTAGCCAATTTACACCAACCTTCCAAGGATTCTTTAAAGATTTTATTTACTTGTTTAGAAAAAGGGGAGGGGCAGAGGGAGAGAGAGAATCTCCATCAGACTTCCAGGGTGAGCACAGAGCCTGACACACAGCTCCATCCCACAACCCCGAGATCATGACCTGAGCCAAAATCAAGAGTTGGATGCTTAACTGACTGAGCCGCCTGGACGCCCCAAGGAGTCTCTATTTTGCAGTAACGCCGATGAACTGCTCAGGGTCGGCTTTCAGCCCATACAAGAGCTGTCTCAGACCTCCTCTGCAGCTTGTGTGCAAGACCAACCTCATGAGAAGAGAAGGGAGAGGCTCCTTCATCTCTCCCACCTCCCGTCCGCTGCTCAGTGGCCTCACGCATCACTCCATTCCTCCCATTGTACAGCTTCCTGTCTTGAAGCCACCTGGTTTGGACCCATCAATGAAGAGGACAACATCCACCAAAAAGACAGGGAGGAGCTGTATCTGTCTGGCTTTAAGCCAGGGAAGATCCTAGAAACTCAGTCCTGCTCCTAGAAGAGGGATCTCTTCTGCTCTAAGACTAACAGGACACCAGGAACTTGAGTTTCAAATCCAGGGGTCTTCACAGGAGGGCTGTTCAGAACATCTGCTCCCTCCTGGCCTGCTCCTAGGCCTCTCCCCCTGTCCCGCTCCTCAACCACATTCACCTCCAGCAAGGGGTTCTTCTAGTCTCTGGTTGATCGGCTTCCCCAAGTTATGGCTGTGTGGGGTCCTGCCTCACCCTTCCAGCAAGCTGCCCCTGCTTCTAGCCCGTACCTAAGAAGATCCCACGGAAACAGAGGTCCAGGAGGGTGAGAGCCCTTGGAGAAACTGCACTGTAGGAACACCTGACTCCTCCCAGGACACAAGTGCCCATCTGCATTCTATCTCATATAGCAAGTCACCTGCTGAGAACTTTAAAAAAAAGTGGAGAGACATTACTTCCAGAAAAATCTTGAGTATGCAAGAATTCTACAGATAATGAGGACTTTTAATTTTCTTTGGTCCCTGTTAGAACTAGTTTAAGGAAAGAATGGGATGCCATTGTCAGCTCTACTCAGCTCACCAGAACCTTCAGAATATAACATTTCACCCTTGCTTCTGCTCTTTAGAAATGGGGAGCCTATAAGCAAACAAGCACATAGTCACACCCTCCTCTGTTTGTCCACCTGTAAACACTCATGGAGTGCACAGGATTTTGTCAGAGATGGCGTTCGAAGGCTCCTGGCTCTGCCCCGGGGACAAAACACAGCTGTTGTCAAAATGGTGCCCCCTCTGAACCTCCAGCCGGGGATCCCGCCCCCATGTCTGGGAGCAGCACACTCATCACCTCGGGCTACAAAGACTTGGTCTTTGCTGATCAGAATCGGCTTGCTTCCATCAGCAACTAAATTCAACCCCAAGTTTTAGAAGGACACCCATCAAATTGTTGACAGTGACGGTTGGGGGCAAGTGAGTGCAGAGTGAAAGGGGTCAGCTATCTAACTCTATATTCCTTAAAAAACAAACAAAAAACAAACAAACCCCCCCCCCAAAAAAACCATGGCGAGTATGTTCATGGATTCCTTCAAAAATTAAAATACATTTTTAAAAAATGGCCAAAAAGGCAAAGGAAGCCACGGTTTTCAACAACAGGGCCAGGCATAGCAGGGTTTCTGCTGGGAGCTGAGCGGGAAGGTGCCCACTTTCCTTAGCCACGTGGATGACTGAAGGGCCCGAGGCATTCTGGAAGTTCTTTTCAGGGATGGACACAGCTCAGGCTCTCTCGATGGTCTTTCCCAGGCTTAGACCTTGACTGTCAAGAGCCTATTTGCCACTCCCCCCACCCCCAACTGAGTTAACCCCTAAGATCCCAGCAGCAGCCCAGAGTTTGCTGAGTGGGCACGAGCCTTCACGCTCACCTGGCCTCAGGTGACCCTCTGTGCTTACTAAGCACCCCTCAAAGCGTTCCCCAGGTTAAAGACGGGACGCTTCCTCATTAAAAGAGCCTGACTAGCTCTGGAAGAACCTGGGGCCGAGGGCAGAGGTCAGTGTCTGGCCAGCGGGCTCCACCGCCTGCCCTCCCCTTAGCTTTCCCACCCCAACCCGCCGCCCTGTAGAAACTCAGAAAACAGGAGCTCAGCCAGGAGAGCAGCCGCAAAGGTTCTCCCGGCCGAGCTCATTCATCACCCAGCCGCCGGCGCCGCTTACCTGCAGATGTAATTCGTCTTGCAGGAGTCCTGCAAATTCAGGCAGTTGGGCTTCTCCCTCTCCTCGTAGGAACACACAGGCACGATGGTCTGCCGCCGCCGCTCGGTGCACGCAATGTCCCGGCAGGAGCAGAAGAGCATCCCATAGCTGTGCTTGGCGGGGACCTTGTCGAAGAACTGCCGCAGGGCCTTGTGGCACTTGCGCCGGTTGCAAACCTCGTTGGACATGCTGGTGGTGCACGGGGTGATGTAGGCGGACCGGTACTTCTTGCAGGTGTCGTCGAGGTTACAGGCCTTGGCGGCGTCCAGGCAGTTGTTCCCCTTGGGCACGGGCTCCACTGCAGAGGAGAGAAAGGCAGGCGTGACCCCAGGGTGGGGGGCCCCGAGGCTCACATTCGCTCTGTTCTATCTGAGGCTCGGCCAGGTCCCGGGCGATGCTGGGAGCTCTGATCAGCTCTGTGTCTTGAAGCTAATAGGTAATGAGTTCATGACAAGGAGAAAGTATATGGAGTGCAAAGGCCAGGAGCCCAGGGCAGCCCACAAGCCCCTAGCAGTCCCTTAGATGGATAATTAGGTGGTACTGAGTGAGGCCAAAGGAGCCAAAGGAGCTCAGGCCCCTGCCAGATGAGGTATAAACAAGGCTACAGGAGAACATGTTTCCAGCTCCTGGTTGGTAAACTGAAATTAGGATAAAAGAAAAAGGCAACAAATTATATACTTGTTCATTATACAGTATATAAAATGATATGCTGAATGTAAGTATAATTGCCATGCAATCCTCCAGGAATATAATTATGTAATAAATGCATATAGTACATGCTAATTACTATATGATTACAGAGTAATTACATGGTTATTTGAGCCCAGAAGACAAAATATTATGCCAAGCTCTCTAAACAGGAAGAAGTAACTACAGCGAACTTGTGTTTAAGTTCTAGCTCACAGGCCATTGGAAGAAAACCAGAATGCATTACGTGAAAATTTGCAAACCTCAATTACCACTTAACTTGCCACATACAAAAGGTGGGATCCATGAGTATTGAGGTCTGCAAACTAGAAAAATTCAGCGAGGATTCTGGATAGGATTTCCATGGGCTTACAAACCATAGGCCTCAGGAATCTCACAAAACATATGTTGCCTTCTACCCAAGCTCTCTGTGCTCGTGCTCAGAGAAAACAGGGCTGTCCACTACCATGCTGCCCACTGTGTGGCCTGGAGAGAGAGAGCACAGGGGAAGCAGGGTCCACTGCAGTAGCCAAGCAGACTGGCGGACAGGACCAGGCCCAATGCCACAAGTTAAAAGATGAGCAGACAAGGGAAATGAAGCTTGACACGATGACACAGGTGTTTTCACAGGAGGGAAGTGATGGAAAAATCTTCTAGGGCCAGGTTATAAGGTGATCCATGGAAAACTGATCATTAGGTGTAGCAGTGACCTTCTGGAGACAGCAAAGAGGTAGACAACAACCTCACTCAGTTGTGAGAATTGTCCTCCCCACACCCTTCCACTAAGTTCCCGCTCAGGCCTCGGCCCCTGCTTTGGTTCTGGAACTCCATTTCATTCTCCTTGTGCCCTGGTCAGTGGGGCCACGAAGGCATTTGGGAAATTACAAGAGGCCAGAGAACTGATTAAGAGAGGAGAAAGGGTCCAAGTAGGTTGGGTGGGCCTGAAAGGGCAGTGCACTTAGTGTACATTCAAAGGGCACATGGAACATTCTCCAACCTTAAAGAAGGAAATCCTGCCAGCAGTGTGACAACAAGGATGAACCGTGAGGACATTATGCTAAATGAAATAAACCAGTCATAAGAGATAGCCACTATATGATTCCACTTACAGGAGGTTCCTAAAACACTCAAGCTCAGACAAACAGAGAGTACAATGCTAATGGCCAGGGACTTGAGGAGGGGGAAATGGGGAGTTTCTATTAAAGGGGCATCAAGTTTTAGTTATGCAAGATGAGTAAGTTCTAGAAGTCTGCTGTCCAACATCATGCCTACCGCCAGTGGTGCTGTATTGTACACTTAGAAATCTATTGAGAGGGTAAATTTCATGTTAAATGTTCTCACTACAATTTTTTTCTTAAATGTAAGTAAGTGAAGGGTACACAAAGCGAGTCTACATTTCAGGGAGCAAGAAAGACCCCCTGTTTCATGATGGTGTGTCTTGCTTTAAGAAAGCCCAGTGTGCAAAAGTCTGAAGTCACCCAATTATACCCTGGCACCACGAGCAGTACCCTCGTATGCCTTAGGTTCATGTTGTTGCGATGACGTCTGAATCCAACAATTTAATGTAAAGGCAATAAACAAGACATTCAGCCCTTCTTGGGTAAGCCGGACAAGAAGCCAGCGGCTGCACAGAGATCCCTGCTGGTTTAACAAGCACACCTGGTACATTTTCTCCATCACGACCTTCCCAGACCAGCTTCTCTCTGGCTCTTCTGTTTTCACACTCAAGCTCCTCTGCACTCAAGAAATGAAATATGCACCATGTGCCCGGACGGGATCACCAGGACCTACAGGCCTTGGTAACCCTTCCAGTCTTTTCCTCTTTTGAGACTTTTAATGTTGTGCTGTTGGGCCCGTCAACAACAGTGGTTTATATTCTCAAAGGTCTAGAGTTTCACAGAAGATTTCTAAATTATCCATTTTTCATGAGAGTCTAAAATAAATTAATATAACTAAAGACCAAATTCTGGACCATCTGGATTAGGCCCTGAAGGCGAGATACGGAAACAATTTTACTGCCTGCATTTACACTTGTCCTGGTATTGAATGGTGTTTTACGATCTCTAGCTAAAAAGGAAAGAATAGAGGTGCAGAGGTGCACCTAACACCTAAATGATGTACCCAGTGATATAGGAACAAACAGTTGACAGAAGTTCAGATGGAGGAAAATGGCGGAAGAATTAAGTCATCACATGATAGCCAGTAACACAGGCCTGCTCAACTCCAGACAGCTCAGGCTGACATAGGAGTATATCCCAACTGGAAGCACCGATTCAGCTTCAACAAAATGGTATTTTACCCCTTACATTAATGTCATTAACTTGCATTTCATTGTTTACAAAGTTCTGCTCATATTTAATTTGTGTGTATTGTTTTTACAGTTGTGTAAAATTACAAAATAAAAGTTTATAGTTCTATGTTCATAAGTGTCAAATAAAATTATAGTAAAAATAATAAAACTCAACCCATGAGGTCCAGGAAACTTATTTTTCTCTCTTAAAGTAGCCTGTATAATATATAAGTTTTTTAAAAAATTGGTCTGGAGAGAGGCTCCTTGACATGGGTCTTGGCAATGAATTTTTGGATATGACACAAGCAACAACATAAAAAATAAACAAAGGGGATGACATCAAACTAAAGCGCTTCTGCACAGCAAAGGAAACCATTAATACCATGAAAAGGCAGGCTGTGAAATGGGAGAAAATATTTGCAAATCATATATCTGATGGGGGTTAATATCCAAAATGTATAAATAACTCATACAACTCAGTAACAAAGTAATAATGATGATGATGATGATGATGATGATAGTAATAATTCCATTTAAAAATGAGCAAAAAACCTAAATAAACATTTTGCCAAAGGAGATATTCCGATGGCCAACAGGTACTTGAAAAGATGCTCAGCATCACTAATCATCAAGGAAATGGATATCAAAACCCCATTGAGCTGTCAAAGCACACCTGTTAGAAGGGCTAATGTCAAGCCAAGAAATAACAAATGATGCGGGGGAAAAGGGAACCTTGGGCACTGCAGGTAGGATTGTAAATTGGCACAACCATTATTGAAAAAATTTTCAATTTTTTAATTGAAAAATTAAAAATAAAACTATCATGTGATCCAGCAACTCCTCTTCTAGGCATACATCTGAAGGAAACCAAATCACTATGTCAGAGAGATCTGAACCCCTATTTTCACTGCAATGTTATTCACAATAGCCAAGACATGGAAACAACTGAAGTGTTTGTCAGTAGATAAATGGGTAAAGAAAACAGGATGTATATACACACAATGGAATAATATTCAGCTGTATAAAAGGAAATCCTGCCATGATAAGTAACAAAAGTCAGATAAAGACAAATACAGTATGATCTCACTTTTATGTGGCATCTAAACACACACACGCACACACACACACACACACACACACAACATCAAAAAAACCAAACTCATAGGAAAAAAAAAAGATCAGCTTTGTAGTCACCAGAGGCAGGGGAAGGTGAACTGAATGTAGGTAGCCGAAAGGTATAGACTCTGAGTTATAAGATACATATGTAATGGGAAATGTCATGTCCAACATGATGACTATAGTTAACAATGTTCCATGCTATAACTGAAAATTGCTAAGAAAGTAAATCCTAAAAGTTCTCATCAAGCACACAAAGACAATTTTTTCTTTTTCTGTGTGTGTATCTATAGGAGGTAACAGATGTTAACTAAACTTGTGATTATCGTTTTGCAATATACATAAGTCAAGTCATGATGCCATACATTTCAAACTTATACAGAGCTGTCTGTTAATTATATCTTAAGAAAATTAAAAGAAAAACATTGGTCTAGCGTATTCCTGCTTTATTACAATAATGTCAGCTTCCTTTTTGAAGTTGGTAAAACTACATACACCACTACTTTTTTCTTCTTAATGTTACCAAAAAGAAAAGTGATATCTTAAAGTAAAGCTCTGTACAAAGTGGGAATAGAATGAATTATTTTATGTCCAAACCAACTGCTTAAATTTTACTTCATTTAGCAAACTCACTTTCAGCTGATTCAGTTTTCATCAATACATAACCCAGCCAGAGCACCATCTCTTTACCATTATTTCAGAGCCTGTGACAAATTCCAGAATGCACAACCTGAAACATTCAGAGAAGCAAAACAAAACAAAACAAAACAAGTGAATTGATGTCCTGCACACAGGTCAATGTGTGACTAGCTTTTTGTTTCTGATTCTCATTCACACAAAATATTCTCATAACCCCTTTTCCAACTTTTTATGTGAGGCAAGTCTTACCTAAAAAGCAGAACCTGATAAAGACGAAAGAAGAAAATTGCAGACAAATATTCCTTACGTAGATTCAAAAAGTTCGGTAGATAGCATTTAGCAATATGTTAAAAGGATAAAGTACCAAGATCAACTTGGGTTTATCCCAGAATGTGAGGCTGGTTTAATATTTAAAAATTAACATAATTTATCATATTAACTAACAGGAAGAAAACCATATGGCTGTTTAAGTGGGCAAAGAAAAAGTGTTCAATGAATTTCAGCACTCCTTCCACAATAAAAAATGCACAGCAATCTAAGAATAGTAAAAAACCTTAATCTGATTA